CAAAACTGCTTCAAGGTGCTAGTTCACACAAACACATTCTTATGTTCTTCCACTAAGTCACAGCCTCAAATCTAAACATGAATTGTCCGTGTGCAGGATTTAGGATGAAAGGATTTCTTCTGCTCATTGGATTTCCTCTGCTTTGTGGTCCACTCTTCCACAATTCCAGTTTATCTGTGATGATTTCTAAAATTAATTCTGGAACTGGAGTTTGCAGTTTGCTGCAGCTATAAATCTCTCCAGTTTGTTTGCATCCACATGCAAGTGAAAAGGAAAGTGTGGGTTATATATTTCACTGGAAATCCCTTCATGCTACTCCTGCATTCTAGGAGCCCTTCCCGATATTGCCTTTTGTAAGTCAACAGACACCTCAGACGGGTTTCAAAATCTATGCCAAATATGTAACAGACAAAGGAGACAAACATAAGCCTGTGCAACTTACAGATGTCCTCATCAGAGCCAAGCTGCAGCTCCCGGTGAAGCTGCATAAGTCTTATTTGCAAACCTGGATCTGCTGCCATACGTTGTACAGAAAGGAATAAAGCTTAATGATGAACGTGTGCACAATATCGTGACTGTACCAAGCTTTCAATGCTAATAAGAACCTGGCATTGCCATAGGTTGCCAGGTCCCTCCTGGCAACTGGTGGGGTTGGGGGAATGACCTGGAGAAAAGCCCAGTCCTCATTGCTAGCGTCGCACAGGAAGTGACACCATCACGCTGCAACATCGTTGTGATGCTCTGATATTTGAGCAAAAACTCTATGATAAAATCATCTTCTCCCATAAGAGTTTTTGCCCAAATATCAGAGTGTTGCCTGGACGTTGCTGGTGCGATGACATCACTTCCGGTGCAATACCGGCAATGAGGCCTGGGCCTTTCTCTTTCTCCTGTTAAGTCCCCTCACTGGCCAGCTGGGAGGCAAGACCTGTCAGTGGGGGACCCCTGCCTCCACTGGGGGTCTGGCAAACCTACGTTGCCAGCCCGGAAGCGTTTGAGGGGTAGGGACTGGAGAAAAGGGCATCATGTGACACTCTAGGAATGCCCCCACCTGGAAGTGACATCAAATCATCATGGGATGCCATTTCTCTCCTGTTTTGGCTTTTGCTGCTCCACTGAGCAAGGGCATGGGCCCCAGGATAAGGGAGGCAGGCAGCCAGCCGCAGAGGCCAACCCGATTTAAGTCCATAAGCACCCCATCTATATACTAATACCGAAGTCGCCCCCTGGTGTGCGGATAGCTAAATCCGCGCACCGGGGGGGGGAGAGTTTTGTGCACACGTGGGGCGGTCCCCAGGTGTGCACAAAAATCTAAAAAGTTTTTTAAAATATTGGAGGGATACTTAAATCCCCCCAAAAGTGACAGAGCGTCACTGCCGCCTCGGAGCGGGGGGGGGGAGGCGGCGTATAAGCCGCGGGGGCCTCGCTTTGGAGCCAGGGGGAGGGACCGACGAGGCCCGGCGGCTGCAAGCCGCTTGGGCCTCGGTTCAGAGCGGGGGGAGGAGGCAGGGGGGAGATTGAGCGGGGGGGGAGGAGATGGAGGAACCGGCGGGATGGGGGGAGTGGAGAGCTTACCTGTTCCTGCTGGTTCCTCCTACGCCTGCTGAGTTTGCATCTCCCTCCCCCTGCGAGTTTCGCGGGTCTTCTTTCTTGTTTAAGTCTATAAGCACCACATTTCACAATATTTCAGCCGAACATAACCTCCTAGGGGTGTTGCAAGTATAAAGTGGAGAAAGGAAGCACAGTGTTGTAAACTATTTTGTGTCCCCAGTGGGTAGAAATCCCTGAGCTGGATGGCCCAGGGCTAGCCTGATCCCACCAGATCTCAGAAGTTAAGCAGGGTCAGCCCAGGTTAGTTTTTGGGCAGGAGACCACCGCAGAAGTCCAGGGTCGCTAAACAGAGGCAGGTGATAGCAAGCCACCTCTGAATGTCTCTTGCCATGAAAACCTTAGGGGGTTGCCATAAACTGGCTGCGACTTGATGACACAGTGGGTAGAAAAGTGGGGTATAAAGCTTGAAATAAATTTAAAAATGTCAGCCACGAATAAGTGCGTTCAGGGCCATAGGTTATACATTCAGGATCTGTATATAGACTGAACAGTTGCTTCCCCATTACCTGCCCACCAATTAAAATCTACACCAGGGACCCTTCTCAGGGTCTTCTTCTGAGCCTTTCATGAGCCTTTTTCTGCAGTAGCACTCCTGCCAACCTAGCAGTTCAAAGGCAAGAAATTGCAAGTAGATAAACAGGTACCACTTCGGTGGGAAGGTAACAGCGTTCCGTGCGCCTTGGGGTTTAGTCACGCCGGCCACATGACCACGGAAACGTCTTCGGACAGCGCTGGATCTTCGGCTTTGAAACGGAGATGAGCACCGCAACCCTAGAGTCGGATTCGACTGGCTTTCGAGCAAGGGACCTTTACCTTTTTTTACTCCAGTCAAAGGATTCCCCCTCCAATTAAAATCATCCAATGCCTTTTTTTTTTACCATGAGTGAAATCTTGTATGCTTGTATTTGCTTTTATTAAAGAATCTGCAAACTAACTGCAGTCTGCTTCCCATTCTGATGATGATTATTACTGCTGGTCTTTTTTTGTTATTTCTTTAAAAAGGTTCTTACCTATTGCTTTATAGCATTTTATGGATCTGTCAGCGGCCTTTAAGGCACTTTTAGTGGAAAGGCAGGATAAAATACATAAATCTTCTTTGTAGGCTGCTCACACTTTAGCTACTCCTCTCTGCCGTAAGTATTCTATTTAAGAAAATTTCCCCGGGAGAGAAAAACCTTTGGTACTTCCTGTTAATACCTTTTATTTGCCCTCTGTGGCATTTTATTAATCTACCTTCTTCTGATTCAGCACAGTCACGTCCCCTACCGACCAAAGATGTTTTCTGAAAATAACTGCTTTACTTTCACATGGTGATACACAGGGCTCTTTTTGTAGAAAAAGCCCAGCAGGAACTCATTAGCATAATAGGCCACACTCAAGAGCAGAAACTCATTAGCATATTAGGCCACACCCCTGACAGCACAGCTCATTAGCATATTAGGCCGCACCCCCATGTTACCAGAAGTGTGGTCATCCAGCCACACGCACCTTTTGCTTCTTATTCTGTTTACCTTATCTGTTGTCAAAACCCAGGGCTTTTTTTGTAGCAGGAACTCCTTTGCATGTTAGTCCACACACCCCTAATGTAGCCAATCCTAATGCGTTTCTGCTCTTGGGTGTAGCCTATTATGCTAATAAGTTCCTGCTGGGCGTGGCCAACTCAGGAGCCAGCCGGAACTCTGTTCCTATGCGTTCCTGCCCAAAAATAGCCCTGGCGATACAACACTTTGGTTTGGGCCAAAGCTGTCAGCGTGGTGTTGCCAAGTAAACACAGCTGGGGAGTTATTAGATGACTTAATGTTAACTCTTGCATCTAAAGAAATATTCATAAGTCTGATCCCCCTTTAATTAATTAAAATTAATAAATGCCTCTCCTCTCCAGATACATTGCTCACTCGTAACTAGGGCTGCCAACCTCCAGGTGGCGGCGGGAGATCTCCTGGGATTAGAACTGATATCAAGGCAATAGAAATCAATCTACTTGGAGGAAATGGCCACGTTGGAAGGCGGACTCCATGGCATTGTGCCTTATTGAAGCCCCTCCCCTCCCAAGCCCCGCCCTCCCCAGGCTCCACCCCTAAAACCTCCAGGTATTTCCCGATCCAAAGCTGGCAACCCTACTTGTAATTAAAGTAGTCCTCATGCTAACGATTTATACAGTTCAAAAAATGTCTTTTATTATCTCATGTTGGGAAGTGTGCACACACACAGACTGGTTTATGTTCATTTCTGTGGTTGCCTATTTGCTTTCAAGTTCAATTCACAGTAGCGTTTGTCAACTTTAGTGGTTAGGAGCCTGGACTCTAATCTAGGAGAATCAGGTCTGATTCCCCACTTCTTCATATGCAGCTGCTCTTTCAAGAACTGCTCTGACAGAACAATGGCTTGCCCAAGGTCATCCAGCAGCTGGAAGTGGAGGAGTGGGGAATCAAACCCAGTTCTCCCAGATTAGAGTCCGCACACTTAACCACTACACCAAACCGGGTCTCAATAGACTGGGGCAGTTACAGCCTTTGGGAATAAGAGAGTTCCAGAAGAGAGGATCAACCACCAAAAGAATGTCCCTACACCACCTCATAGTTTGGATTTGGTGTTCAGATGGTACCACCGAGTCCTGGCTGACTTCACAATCAAGGGAAACACCTTGCCTGAACCTCTCCTTCTGGATTTTTGAAAGCTGCAAGGTATGAGTTAGTTGGGCCCATCGATTTCTTCACTTCCCTTTCCTTTTTCTTTCTTCCTTCTTTTGGTACTTGTGTGTGTGTGTGTGCTTACGAGCCTGGAAGTCATGATGACTTCTGGCGACCCCTAGCAGGGCCAGGACGCTTCAGAGAGGTGGTTTTCTGTTGCCTGCCTCTGCGTCCCAGCCCTGGTATTCCTGGGAGGTCTCCCTTCTAGGTACCTGCCCGGGTCGGCCCTGCGTAGCTTCCGAGATCTGACTAGATTGGGCTTGCCTGGGCTATCCAGGTCAGGGTGTCCCTTTCCCTTTTCATGCTAAGTAATCTGTTATAGGGGAAGGAGATTAGGGGAGGATGCGGGGAGATTGTGATGCCGGTCCCATTGTGACTCACCCTGTGATCAGTGCTGCTGGCTTAATCACCAGCCCGAGTAGCGGGGTGGGAAGGATGGTGGGGAGCAGCGAGGAGTGAAGGCGACAGACACTCCTCCCGTCTTTGTGAAGGGCAAGGAGAAAGAAGGGGCAAGGAGGGTGGGGAAGGAGGGGGAAGAGGGGGCGTCTTTTTTTCTTTTCTTTCTTCCTGGTGTCTCACACAACAGCCCTTTGAAATGGTGAATGAAGAGGAAAATCCCCAAGGAGAGGCCCAGCAGCACTCAAGCTCCCTGGTGGGACGTGACCAGCCTCTCTGCTGCTGCTTCCTCCCGCTCCCGCTATGGCAAATCCTGGCACCCTGAACCGTTTCCGTGTTCGTCCGGCAGAGCCGCAAGACTGTGCAGAAATCCTGCGTCTCATCAAAGTAAGAGGGAAAGGGGGCCACCACGGGGCTTGCTAGCGATCCCATTCGGCCTGACGGTCGGCCAGTAAATAAGGACAATCGGACTGGCCACGGGAACGGTGGCTCACCAGTCAGTTTCCTTGCCTGGCTGGCAGCAGGTCCCAGGTTCGATCCCGGCCACTTTCAGTTCAGTGGATTTCAGGTCACAAGCAGTGTTCCCTCTAAGCTGAGTTAGTGTGAGCTAGCTCACAGTTTTTTAGTCTCCAGCTCACACATTTCTGTCTCAGTTCAGGAAGGATGGCCCCAGAGCAAACTAATTTAGGTAGTAGCCAGATTGCTCGCTCACAACTTTTATGCCAGTAGCTCACAAAGTAGAATTTTTGTTCACAAGGCTCCACAGCTTAGAGGGAACATTGGTCACAAGGGCTGGCCAGGTTGCCTTCCTCTGCCTGAGAGCCGGGGGAGCCGCTCGCTGCCAGTCAAGCTAGGTAGGACCCATGGTCTAACGCAGCCTAAGGCAGTTCTGCAGGGCTCAGGTGGCTGTCGCATCACGGTGCAAGGTCATCACGTAGTGTGGGGCCGGCCGTGGGACGGGATTCTTTGCCAGTACAGCGGTGCCGACTGACGAAACTGTGCTGGCATTAGCCACTGTTCCCAGGTGTACAAACTGGAAGCAGGACGGGAAAATTGATGGACGAGGAAGCGTAGACTAGGGGTGCCTATGACCTGCAGCTGCATGTACGAGATGACATTCATGAAGAGTGTCACGTGTGACATCTGCAGGCACTCCTTCCCATTACATGAGAATCTCACCAAAACACTCCGGGAGATGCCGTGGCTCAGTGGCAGAGCATTTGCTATGCAGAAGGTTCCAGGCTTAATCCCCAGCGTCTCCAGTGATAAAGGACCAGTGCTGTGAAAGAGCTCTCCCTGAGACCTTGGAGAGCTATTGCCTGTCTGAGTAGACCATATTGACTCTGTTGGACCCAGGGTCTGATTTTGTATAAGGAAGCTTTATGAGCGTAAGGATTACTTGCTTTTTTATTTATATAATTTCTATACTGTCTCATCTCCCTAACTCTCCCACAATAGTGTACAGTACACAGATAGGTGAAAATAAATCCAAATAATTAACAACTAACAAAGTCGGTGGTTTAAAAGACAAAAAGCTGCAGAAGTAAAAGCAAAACGATTTTTTTGCTTAAAAAATACAGCAGAGGAGACCATACACCAATAAACCACATAGCTTTTAGCAGCCAATGGAAACCATCAAGATAAAATTTGTCAGGGAAACCAAGGACACCTTAAAACACCAAGTGCCTGGGTAGGAAACAAGATTTTTTTTTTAACCTGACACCTGAAACTAACCAGGATGTGAGTACTGACTGCAATCAAAAGGAAGACCCCCCCCCCAAAAAAAAGCCAGCTAAGGGAAGCTTCTGAGGGCCTAGCTAGATGAGGTGTCGAAGGATCCACGAATGGATGTTTCTGTGTTTTTTGCTTTGCCGAGAGCAGTTGTGCAGGGCCCAGGTTCAACTTGGAGGGAAGGATAACCCTCTCTCCCTTTCAGCTTTGTCCATAAGCGAGACAGTTTGCTGTAGTGGTTAGGAGCACGGACTCTAATCTGGGAGAACCGGATTTGATTCCCCACTCCTCCACAGGCAGCTGCTGGTGTGACCTTGGGTCAGTCATAAGTTCTTTCGGAGCTGCTCTCAAGGACAGTTCTCAAGAGAGCTCTCTTAGCCCCACCTACCTCACAGGTGTCCGTTGTGGGGAGGGGAGAGGAAGGGGATTGTAAGCTGCTCTGAGACTCCTTCAGGTAGTGAAGGGCGGGGTATAAATCCAATCTCTTCTTCTTCTAAAGGTGAGCACACAGACACCTTGAAATTTTTCTTGGAAATGAATTGGTAGATGAGGCCATGCCAATCTACATGTAGGTTATTGGGATAGTTGGCTGATATAGCAGAGTTTTGCCCTGTCATAGAAGCATGATACTGAGCACAGTAAATAAATCTCCCAAGAAGTATATTGCAAAAAAGGTAAATGTACATTTATTCAAGTAGATCAGGTTCATGTTCAGGTTTCAGTCAAAAGAAGAGCGAGAAGCCTAATCTGAAGAGTGCTTTCCCTCTCGCAAGTGGCCAGCTTGTCCGTCATCATGTGTGTGGGAGTATGAGGGCATTATATCTACAGGAGAGACCTGCAAAGACATGTGTCTCCATTAGGGTTGCCAAATGGGGCCGGGGGGTGGAGAATCCCCCGCTTTGGAGGCCCGATTTCCGATGCGACGGAATCGGGCCCCAGGGGGAACCCCGCCCCCCGAAGCTGCGTCACCATATGGTTCCCCCCCAACAATCTTGGCCACACCCCCAACATGCTACGTCGTGCGTCACTTCCGGTGACTTCCGGCGGCGCACGCACACATCCCCAGCCGGCTCCCGGAGCGAGAAGACGCTCCCCCCGCCGGTGAGTAAATTAGATTTGGCACCCCTAGTCTCCACGGAAGGCCATGTAGAGAGAGTGAGAGGACAAAGGAAGAGGAGAGGTCAGAGAGCAGCTCCCAGGCATCCCATTCAAGGAGACAACACCTATACGCCCACAGACTGATGTAGCGCCCACCGCCTGCAAATGTCCATGCATGCTGTGTCATTCACTCCAACACAGGTTACATGCAATTTCCTGCACACACTGTCTTCCATGTAGGAATTCTGTAATCTGTGAAGCAGCTCTGAGATATCTGTTATAGGTGAGTTAGTGTTTAACTAGCGGTTCCTAAATTGAATTTATTTAACGTGCAACAAGGAAACAGGAAACAATTTATATGCTGCCTCTCCAGCTCATCAAGTGAAAACGGAACGTTTGTATCATAAAAACAACAGAAGAATGATCAATAATAAAGCCAGCCATTAAAAACTGCATGAAATAATAATCAGCAGCCTACATTTATATTCATAAAACAGTCCGCAAGCTAAAAGCAGACCATAAAAACAGCTTAAAAAGATGGAACATGTAATTAAAATCTTCGTTTAAAATGTTTGGTCTGGCCTCTAAAGGACAGTATAAAAGGCATCAAGGGTACCTCAAAAGGGAAGGGCATTCCAAAAGGAAGGTGCTGCCATTTCTTGGAGTCAGTGTTGGACCATCTGAAGCTGAGTTACACCCTTCTAACCAATACTCCCTCTAAGCTGTGGAGTCTTGTGAGCAAAAATTCTACTTTGTGAGCTCCTGGCATTAAAGTTGTGAGCCAGTGATTTGGCTACGACATAAATTAGTTTGCTCTGGAGCCATCCTTCCTGAGCTAAGACAAAAATGTGTGAGCTGGAGGCTAAAACCCCCCGTGAGCTAGCTCCCATTAACTCAGCTTAGAGGGAACACTGCTTCTAACCCTATTGACTCCCATGCATCTTGCCCAGTACTGGCTCTGACCAGCAGAGATATTCAAGGCCTCCAGGAGGGATCTTTCCCAGTCCTGTTAACCTACGACCTTTTAAATAGAGATGTTGGGAACGGAACGTAGGACCTTGGGGATGCAAGGTATGCACCTTCCAGTGAGTTATGAGAAGTGGAAAACTTCAGTTTCTTCATACCTGCCCACCCAGCGGTTCGAAAGCATTAATATCTAGCAAGTAGATAAATGGGTACCTGCCCTAGGTGGCAGGGGGCACCCTCCTCCAGTGGGGCGTGCAGCAGAGGCATCGGCGGCGGCGGCAACGGAGCGGCGATGGTGGAGTGGCAGGTGGAGCGATGGAGGGGCTGAGGAGTGCCCTGCGAGCACGGCGTGACCGGCAGAATCCGGCAGAGGTGGAGCCACAGATGTGTGGCAGCATGTCGGCGCAGTGCGACGGAGCTGAAAAGGACGATGGTCGGAGCTGTGGCGGTTGCGGGGCCATGCACTGGAGGAGACCGCCGGAGGAAGCCACGGAAGAAATCTGCCCCAGGACATTGGAAGTGGAGCGCCGACATCCAAGGCTGCCGGAAGAAGCCAGATTCCAACAACAAGCCCTGCTCTGGGTGCTGATAGGAAGTCACCCCCCGTATAATTGTGGCCTTAGTCAGGAACCAAATGATTGTGTGTAAGCCACTCAGAGACCCTTCGGGGTTCGAGCGGGATATAAATTGAATGATAAAATAAAATAAATAAAAAATACCCTCTATGCATCTGACGGAGAGAACTGTGTTTCTCAAAAGCTTATGCTACAATAAAGTTTGTTACTCTTAAAGGTGCTACTGGACTACTAGAGCAGACACTTTCAACAGCAAGACACAGAGGAACTCACTGCCCACACTTGCTGTTGTTAAAGTGAAAGGTTTCGGTGATTAACCAACAGTAATGGGCACAATTCTTTGAAGCTCATGTAGAGTTACTCTTGGACCTTCACCCTTTCCCTGACTGCCTTTAGCTGCAGAGGGTTCCTCCTCAATAATGTCTCCCTTTTATGCATGGCTCCCAAGCCAAACCCACTTCCTGTTTCCTTTCCCTTATTTAGTAAGTATCTGTGGCATCCAGGTGTCTCGTTGCCTTTGAAACGAGGCCATTGCCTATCACCACCTCCCAGTTGGCCACGCCATAATTCCATAAGCCTGTCTGTTCCACCCTTCTCCCAGCCGGTCTGTCAAGTTAGTCTTGGTCCTTTGCATGACTATTGTGTGGGTCTTCTCCTTCAGGCTGATCTTTTCACAGCACTTTCATGAAGCTCCAGAAGAATTGCTAAAATCAGGGCTATTTTTGGGCAGGAACGCACAGGAACGGAGTTCCGGCTGGCTTCAAAGTTGGCCATGCCCATTACAGCAAAAACCTCTGCATGCCTGGCTACAGAGGGAAGGCCTGGAGAACAACCCCCCCTGGCGACTCCAAGGCGGGCGGGTCAGGAAGGCCCCTGGAAGGATTGGGGAGGTATTTAAATGCCTCCCCCGTGCCTTCCTTGGCCTGTCCAAGGGCCGGCTTGCCTGGTCTCTCCGCAGCCGTGGGCGCCCGGGCAAGTTAAGGGAAGGCATGAGTGTGGCCTAATATGCTAATGAGTTTCTGCTGCTGGGTGTGGCCTATTATGCTAATGAGTTCCTGCTGGACTTTCTCTACCAAAAAAGCCCTAGCTAAAATGGTCCCTTCTGGTTTCTTTCCTTGACAGGAGTTAGCTGCTTATGAAAATATGCCGGATGCAGTAAAGATAACAGAAGCAGGTAAAAAAGAAAAAGCCTCGAACAACATGTTTAGGAAGTTGAAAGTGTGCTGTTTTAATTTCTATCCCATTCTCCCAGGCAGGGTGGAGTCGTGGGAGACTCAGTTCCAAATCCCCACTCTGCCTTGAAACGTGCCGTCTCTCTGGATGGACGGGTGACCTCGGGCCAGTCACTCTTTCAGCCTAACCTACTACCCACACGTGCTTGTTTTTGTGAGAATCAAGTCGAAAAAAGAACCACCCCACTGGGCAGAAAAAGGGGGTATAAAAATAAGGTGCTTGTGAAGGTGTGCGTGCCCCTCCTTTATCCTTACAACACCTATGAAATTGGTTAAGATGGCAAGACAGTGACTGACCCAGGGTTGCCAAGTCCCTCCCGGCCACTGGCGGGGGATGGGGGGGGGGTTAGCGTTGGCAGATACAGGCAGGGCCGGCTCACTCACTAGCCAGACTAGGCGATCGCCTAGAGCAGGCCAGCCCTTAGGGGCACCAAACTGCACGCGGCCCCGTACTCTGGGAGTTTCTTGATTATTTGTGTTTTTCATTCTTCCTAAAATGCATTTATTTTTTTTAATTGGTGGGCGCACCGGTGGTGGAAGGGCGCCAGAAGGGATCCCCGCCTAGGGTGCAAAATAAGCTGGGGCCGGCCCTGGATACAGGTTGGGAGATTTGTGGATATTTGAGGATGGAGCCTGGGGAGGACAGGGACCTCAGTGGGGTACAATGGCATACAGTCCACCCTCCAAAGCAGGGCTCTTTTTGTAGCAGGTACTCCTTAAGCGATACACCCCTAATGTAGCCAATCCTCCAAGAGCTTACAGTAGCTCCTGTAAGAAGAGCTCTGTAAGCTCTTGGAGGATTGGCTACATTAGGGGGTGTGGCCTAATATGCAAAGGAGTTCCTGCTACAAAAAGAGCATCCATTTTCTCCAGGGGAACTGGTCTCTATAGTCTGGAGATGAGCTGTAATTCCTGGGGAATCCCCAGGTCCCACCTGGAGGCTGGCATCCCTACCAGCAGGGCCAAACAGCGAGCTTCATGGCTGAGCAAGGATTTGACCCCAGGAATCTCCACTCAAAAATCCAAACACTTCTGAACACCACTGTTGGAAATGAAGGAACATATATTTGATAGCGTTCAGTGTTCCCTCTAAGCTGAGTTAGTGTGAGCTAGCTCACACTTCTTTAGCCTCCGGCTCACACACTTTTGTCTTCGCTCAGGAAGGAGGGCTCCAGAGCAAACTGATTTATGCCATAGCCAAATCACCTGCTCACAACTTTAAGGCCAGTAGCTCACAAAGTAGAATTTTTGCTCACAGGGCTCCATAGCTTAGAGGGAGCATTGGTCGGCATTTCAGTCTCCAGTACTAAATTCAGTTCTAGGCCTGGGATTGAATTCCTTAATTAGGGTTCCTTGGAGAAATGGGAGGCAAAAACGTGATATAGGCCAACACAGAGACGTATCATTTAGCTGTCAGTGAAGCCTTGTATCTTTTTGCTGTCATGTTCTGTCATTTCCTACGTCTTAAATCATCCTAAATAAAAAAGCAGCCAGGTCTATCTAGCCCAGAATTCCAGTTTCTGACAGTCACCAAACAGATTCTGTGGAACGAGCACAAGTAGAGGCACAGAGGCCAAAGCCATCCCGCTATTATTGACCCCTCCCAACAACTGGTATTCAGAAGAACACTGCCTCTGAACATGGAGGTTCCATTAGCCATCATGGAATCATGATGGACCTAACTTTTCTGCATGCACAATTCACTTGTTGGCTGTCAGAGGACTCCAATGGAATCCAGAAAGCAAATTCTGGAGAATTTTTTGATATTCGGCCTTCCCAACCTACCATAGCAGAACCCCTGAATCTGTCCCAAGCTGTGGTTTGCCAGGAAGTTGGCAGTAAATCTGGTCCACTTATTTCACTATTTATTCAATAACCATACATTTCCAGATTTACTTCGAGACGGTTTTGGATCGCATCCTTTCTTCTACTGTTTAATAGCGGAGGCAAGAAAAGAAGATGAAACTGAAGGTAAGCATTGACCATTTCTCCTGGTACTGAATCCTTCTCTGCAACAAATTAAACAAATTCTAGACTTGGTGGTGGGGCAACTGAGAGTTTTTTAGGCCTAAAGGTAGGCCACACCCTGACCTGGGATAGCACAGGCTACTGGATCTCATCAGATCCTGGAAGCTAAGTAGGGTCAGCCCTGGTCAGTACTTGGAAGAAAAAGAAGAGGAGGAGGAGATTGGATTTATACCCCGCCCTTCACTACCCAAAGGTGTCTCAGAGCAGCTTACAGACTCCTTTCCCTTCCCCTCCCCACAACAGACACCCTGTGAGGTAGGTGGGGCTGAGAGAGCTCTGACAGAAACTGCTCTTTTTCAAGGACAGCTCTTATCAGAACTATGGCTTGCCCAAGGTCATCCAGCCAGGTGCAAGTGGAGGAGTGGGGAATCACACCCGGTTCTCCCAGATTAGAGTCCACGCACTTAACCACTACACCAAACTTGGTGGGAGACCACCAAAGAAGTCCAGGGTTGCTATGCAGAGGCAGGCAATGGCAAACCAGATCTGAAACCTCACCAGGGGACAACATCAGTCAGATATGACTTGATGGCCAAAAAAGAAAAGAAAAAAAGAAAAGTAGCCACAGGGTGGCCACTTGAGATCAGGGCTGCAGCACAAGAGAGGTGCAGGGTGGTTCAACCCTTTCCCCTTGCACCATTTTCTTGCAATATACAAAGACTGTCTCTGCACATGTCCAGAGTACAGTCTGTACAAGTAAGCGTGTCTGAGTCTGATCAGTGCTGGATGGGAGACCATCTTGGAAGCCGACGTACGTTGAGCTCATCATGGAGGGAAGGTGGTATAGAAGCATCACTGAGAGTAAATCCCCCACCTGCCACAGTTGTTTCCACCAACGCCCAACAAATAGGTCTTCACCTTGAATCAGTGGCATTTCGGACGTGCAAGAGATACAATCTCAAGTTGACTGGTGATGAGGTGGAAAATCAGCTGTGGGGAATTCTGATCAGAAAACCACATGATTTGTAAAGGGTTAAGCATCCTCACTCCGTCCCAGGTTGCTCCCTCATTCAAAAACTCTGCTTCCCAAGGGCTGCTTGTCAGTGAAAACATAACTGCGGGAATTTCACAGACAATTGTTCGCTTGTTCGTAGACACCGAAAGTTTGGAGACTGTTATTGTATGTATTACAACAGCGGCCGAAAAACAGCCTTGACCTGAAAATACCTGCTCCCATTTTTAATTAAGTTCATCACATATATTTGCACAAAGATTCTCTTGTGACTTAACAGGAAGTTGAATTTCGGTATTCTCGGGTTGTCGGCTTTAATCAGTCTAATAGCCTCGAAAGCCCCTGGGATGGAAAGGCTGGGTCAAAACGGAGGGAGGAAAAACCCCCAATCGATTAAAGCTTTAAAAACTGTAAAACTAGTTCTGTGCACCCAAAGGGCCTTCAGAGTTGTTTTTCTCTTATCACAGACCTCCCTGCATTCCAGCCGCATGGCAAATGGCTTTTGAAGTCGAGCTGGGACACAAACATAATTTGTGATATGATAACGGTGGGACGGGGGCTCAGCCGATCGATGAAAGCAAAAACATTCCCACCAAGAACACACAAAAGCACCTTGGGTTGGTCCTAGCAGTTTGGATTCTGCTCTTAGGATCAAGCTAATCAAGATGCAGGAAACTCCATGTTGGAAGTCCCCAAACATTTAAACAGAAGCCGCATAGGGGCGGATTCTTATCATGATTATGGTGCCAGGGAGGGTTAACTCTTTATCTGCACCATTTTCCTGCACCTGAAACTGTCCTGTGGTGCTGGTATGAGCTCCACTGGAACAATCATAAACACACAATGCACGCTGCCTTGTCCCTTTGTCCCAGTAGGGCTAACAAGAGCCTTTTCTGGCTGGGGAAATGGTGCCAGGAAAGGAGTTCTCTCCTCCTCAGTCCAAATCGATTAAAAAGGAGAGGCCAATTTTGGTGGCTCGGTGATGGCAGACGCTCTCCCCTATCTCTGGGGAGAAAGTCTGCGCTCCAGTGGGAATTGGAGGAGTGCCACCTCAAGTGGCACCCCCAGGTGAGCCTAGGATTTAGGCTCCAAGCTGGGGGCACTGTGGGGGGGCGACCTCTTTGATGGCGTAATGCCGGAGAATTGAGGCGCTCCCTTTGCCCCAATCGGTCCGTCCCCTGAGAGGCTCAGTTTTTACTGAGCATAACCGATGCCGGCCGGGACAAGCAGAGAGGATCAACGATTTTAACGATGCTACATGAGGTCTGAGGGCAGACCGGCAATGAATTGGAGAAGCAGCCAAGCGGAAAAGTTTTAAAAGTGAGTGCCCCCCCCCCCCAAGGGAAAGCGGCGTCTGGAAGGCATTCCAGACGTAAACAAACTGAACTGTGCTATATAAAAGGAGGAGGGAGGGGAGTAAAGAAGAGACAAAGTGTGTAAGAGACTTAGCTACGTTTGCGAAACAAAACCGACGTTCTTTTGAAGAAGGGTGAAAAAAGTCATTTTTGTGTAAACAAAGTCGAAAATGGCCGGTGCGCGAGGAAAACCAGGCAGACTTACAGGGCGTGGTGGTCAGAGTCCAAGAGTGGAGGAGACCGATGTGTTCTCCATGCTATCAGAGCGGCTCAAGCCGATCAACGAGAGACTCGATGATATTAACCATCAAATGACCGCTTCAAACCAGAGTCTAGCAAAGCAACAACAGCAAATAACCGAGCTGACTAAGAAATCGTTGCAGACAGACGAAAAGCTTAAAGAGACTGCACATGACACCAAAAGGGTGAAAAAGAAGGTTGGTCTGTTGGAACAAAGACAAGACCTTCAGGAAAGGAGATTGTTGAACTTACAAATGGAAAAAGCTAACAAGACGCTTAGGTTCCAGGGGATAGCTGAATCGCAAGGAGAAAACTCGAAAGTGTTAATGGCAGATCTCATCGCTTCGGCGGTGGGGGCGTCAACGGCAGAAGTGGAAGCTGAAATTGAGGTGATTTATCGATCATACTCAAAATATATTAAGCGAAATAACCTGCCGAGTGAAATGGTGGTCAAGTTTTTCAGAAGACAGATGACATTCTCAAAGCAACAGCAGCTACTCCCCTGCAGCTGGGAACTGCAGCCATCAGGGTCCTAAAGGACACTCCATTTGAGGTTCGTCAGAAAAGAAAAGCGTGTAAGGACTTGATCTCAACCCTGCAGATCAACCAAATATTGTATTCCTGGAATTTTGCGGAAGGTGTCGTGTTCAAATATGGAGATAAAAGAGAAAAAATCGACTCGGTTTTAAAGGCGGAAGAATGGTTGAAGCGACACTTTGGAGCGAAGGAAGAGGAAAAGCAGGACGGAGATGGCGGAGCAGGCATAGCAGATGATAAGGACGATGACCAAGGAGCAGCGGGAGGCGACACGGCCAGAGAGACGTATGATTTCCGACACAGAGGACCAAAGTAACTCTTTACATATTAAAGACTTGCAAACGCTGAAGATGATGAAAAGAGACTCGATGCACACAAGAGAAACTGAAGGAAAAACTAACATGGACTGACTAATTCTTCAATTCATTGATTTAAACGGAAAGTTATAAGTTTTTAATACTAACTGAATACTAACTGTTAAGGATCCTCCCTCTTGGGATTTTAGTCACAGTGTGGGTTTTTTATTTACTATCCTTTTATCCCGGGGTATTTCTTCCCTTCCCCCTTTCTGTTTCTGTTAGTTTGTAGGTGTAACAAAATAAAAAAAGATACCCTGTCTTCAGGGGATTTAAAAAAAAAAAAAAGGAGAGGCCAATTTTAATGCACCAGACTTATGATGAAGGGCAACATTTTATTTTATTTTCTAGTGGAGGCAAACCCTATTCTGATTTGGTTTTGGCACTAGATAGAAATGGAAAAGACTTGGAGATGGTCTTTCCTTCAAGCAATGCAGAATATTTTCAGAACCATCTTCTTTCATACAGGCCTGCCGAAGTATTAAGACCCTACTCCAGAGGGGCCCCCCCCGCCCCTGCTTCCATTCACCAGGGTGAGACACTCGGTCGTGAGTGGCGGGGAATCCTCTGTAGTGGCACATTTTTGGAACTCTGTCCACTGCTATTCTCCTGGTGCCTACCGTTTCAGGTACCACTGTACTTTTAAAAAAGACCGCAAGGTCTGTAGTTCGAGAGCCGAGTGCCGCGTGACAGAGTGAGCTCCCGTCTCTGGCCCCAGGTCCTGCCAACCTAGCAGTTCGAAAGCAAGAAATTGCAAGTAGGTAAAATAGGTACCACTTCGGTGGGAAGGTAACAGCGTTCCGTGCGCCTCGGCGTTTAGTTGAGCCGGCCACATGACTGCGGAAACGTCTTCGGACAAGCGCTGGCTCTTTGGCTTGGAAACGGAGATGAGCACCGCATCCCTAGAGTCGGATTCGACTGCCTTTCGAGCAAGGGTAAACCTTTACCTTTACCTCTTGTTTTTGCTACAGGTTTTACTGGTTAAAATTTATTTTGGCGGTCGTGGAAAGTGCTGTCAAGTGGCAGTTGACTTATGGTGACCCCTGGTGGGGTTTTCAAGGCAAGAGACATTCAGAGGTGGGCTTACCAGTGCCTGCCTCTGTGTACAACCCTGGACTTCCTTGGTGGTATTCCATCCAAGTAGTGACCAGGGCCAACCCTACTTAGCTTCCGGGATCGGGGTATCCTGGGCTATCCAGGTCAGGGATAAAAGAAAATGTGTAAAGTGCCATCAAGTTGTAGCTGACTTATGGTGACACCACAGGGTTTTCAAGGCAAGAGATGAACGGAGGTGGTTTGTCATAGCCTGTCTCTGTGAGCTACTCTGAACTTCCTTGGTGGTCCCCCATCCAAGTACTAACCCGGTTTGACCCTGCTTAGCTTCTGAGATCTGCCTAGCCTGGGCCATTTAGGTCAGGATTTTACTGGTTTAAAGTGGTTTTGGATTGGTTTTCTACTGGCATTTTATCCCGGTACTGTTCTTTGAGAGTCTCATGGCTATGAGGCAGAATAGAAGCAACATATAAAAATAATTTGTTTACTAAATTGTACGTTCTTGTACACTTCCTTCCCTATCTCACAAAGGCAGCTGTAGGAATGTTTCGGTAATACTCTGACTACATGTATCGATTTAAAAGGCACAGAATTAAAGATTTTTCGTTGGCCAACTGGTTGATAGCTCTTCTAAATTCATCTTGATATTTTGTTTCTTTATAAAGATAATTTTTTCTGCCTTCCAGATACCGGTATTGTAGGCTTTGCAATGTACTACTTTACGTATGACCCTTGGATTGGCAAGTTGCTGTACCTGGAAGACTTTTATGTAATGGATGATTTTAGAGGTAAAGCAAAACTGGTCACCCAATCCTCTCTCTCTCTCTCTAAAAGATAGGGGTTTTTTCCCGTAATGGGAATACGTATTTCTACTTGTGATAGGATTGCTTGCTGTTTGACACCTTTGGTAGAGGAAGGCCGTGGCCAACCACCTTTGCTTCTCACTTGCCTTGAATGCCTCTTGCTTGGGGTTGGCTGTGCCTTGGCAGCACTTAACTTACAACACCCTTGAAGGCCCATGTCTTATGTAACTTTTTTTTTTTTAACGGGCAAAAGCCCTTATTTTTATTGTTTTGAATTCCAACCTCAAACCAACAAACAAATAAACAATTGATTAACATAAGATCCTTCTCCGGATATACATTAGTTATTGACTGTAAATTAATCAGGAAAGCTTAAACCTTCTATGAGTGTGAGTCCAACCACTCATAGAATTTTCGCCATATATTTTGAAAAGTCCCATCTTCTTTTCCACGTATTTTCAAGGTCAGATTGTCCATTTCTGCTACTTCTAGACTTAGTTACATAGTCTTTATGAGACGGACAATCTTCTTTCTTCCAAAGTTTAGCAAGTATCATTCTTGCTGCTGTTACCAGATGTGTACATAGATAAACATCTTTCTTCTGTAATATACCTGGCATAATATTCAATAATAACATTTCAGGTTCAAACAGAATATTAATATTCATTATTTGCCCTATAATGTTATGAATTTCTTTCCATTTTTTTTATTTTTTCACAAGTCTGCCATACATGATAAAAGGAGCCTATTTTAGCTTTACACTTCCAGCATTTATCAGAAGAATTAGAGTAATAGTGTGCAAGTATATCAGGGGTTAAATACCATCGGTGAAACATCTTAAAAAGATTTTCCTTCATAGAAACTGCTTTCATATATTTTAGCGTCTGCCAAATTTTTCTCCATTTGGTTAACTCGATACTATGCCCTATATTTCTTGCCCATGATATCATGGATGCTTTCACTTCTTCCTCAGCCATTTTATAACCTAACAGAAAATTATACAGTTTCCCGATAAGTTTATTTCTACTACCCAATAACCTTTTATCTAGTTCTGAATTCTCTCTTAAAAAAACGGTTTGCCTATCTTTAGAGTATCTAGACTCCAGTTGATTTCTCTCCCACCAGGTTAATAGTATACCTTGCGCGTCTTATGTAACTTTCATTATCAAATTTGTAAACTATTTTAAACAATGTGAACTCACAACTGAGTTTTCCCCATATTGTGTTTTGGCAGGTTGGGGCATTGGAACAGAGCTTTTAAAGAAATTAAGCCAGGCAAGTTAATTCAATACCTTTAAAATATAATATCGTCAACTCGTAGCCTGTATTTTGATCTATGGATTCAGTCTACGGTAGTCGCTGAACTGCAGGCTGACTGAAAGCTGAAGTTCAACTCTGCTGGAGGACTCAAAAAGAAGAAAGGATCTGTAGGAAACTGGTGGGTAAATTCTTGGGCCTAGTTCACCCCAAGAGCAGATGTGGAAGTGGGAGCATTTATGGACTGGATTGCTTCAGACTGCAGGGGGAGGGGGGACTGCAACATTCCTCCATATACAAAACCAGGTGTCATGGAGAAGAGTTCTAGACGAACCATCTTGCTGACATGCTACACTTGATTTCTTTTCAATATGGAGGAATATTCTGTTATATATTCCTCCCCCCACACCATGTGCAGCTCTAAGTGGTACAGTTTGGTTTTACCACCTCATCTACTGTTTGTGGAAATTAGTCCTCGGTTTTACCAGGAAATTTGGGTTGGAAGTAGTGTTCCCTCTAAGCTGAGTTAGTGTGAGCTAGCTCAGTTTTTTTAGCCTCTGGCTCACACATTTTTATTGAGCAAACTTCAGAGGACGGCGGAAGACAGGAAGGCCTGGCGTGATCTGGTCCACGGGGTCGCGAAGAGTCGGACTCGACTGTGCGACTAAACAATAACACACATTTTTGTCTTAGCTCAGGAAGGATGGCTCCAGAGCAAACTAATTTATGCAGTAAATTGCTCGCTCACAACTTTAACAAAGTAGGATTTTTGCTCACAAAACTCCACAGCTTAGAAGGAGAATTGGTTGGAACTTGGGCAAGTCACAGTTCACAAACTGTGAAATGGGCTTTTAATGCCCTCAAGCAAATAGCCAACTGGAACTGTTGTTGTAACTTTTTCAGAGGAATGCATCAGTTTTCAAAAGGGAGACACTTGTTTGAAGAAAAAAGGATCAAACTACATATCAAAACCAATCTCAGAGAATTTCATGCTATCTGAAGGGGTAAAGTTACGGAATGGTTTATGATTTCATACAGAGGTGCTTTCGTACAAAAGTCTTCACCTGAAAACTCAGGAGAAAAAAAAAAATCGGGAAGGACTGGAGGTCCTGAGAGAAGAACCAAAGAAATACATTGCTGGTTAAAAAAATTATCTGAGATTATGAAATTATATGAAATAACTTTCTGATGGCTTACATGAACTCCCAACAATGCTGATGAACACTGTTTTGCCCCGACAATTGAATATGAATCATCCCAAGCTCCAAAAATCAGGCAGATTTTAAATGTACCAATTCACATCTAGCATTTACTTATTTAGTGCATTTTCATCCCACCCTTTCTTTAAAGAACTCAGGGAAGCACACACTTCTCTTTCACTGAATCCTCATACCAATCCTGTGAGCTAGGTCTGACTAGCTCAACTCACCCAGTAAATTTTCACAGCAAGCAGGGATTCAAACTCAGGTCCCCCTGGTTCTAGTCCAGCTCATAGTTGCCAGCAGGGCTTTTGTAGAAAAAGCCCAGCAGGAACTCATTAGCATATTAGGCCACACCCTGACAGCACAGCTCATTTGCATATTAGGCCACACCCCCATGTTACCAGAAGTGTGGTTATCCAGCCACACTCACCTTTTGCTTCTTATTCTGTTTACCTTGTTTGTTGTCCAAACCCAGGGCTTTTTGCATGTTAGGCCACACACTCCTAATTGTAGCCAATCCTAATGAGTTTCTGCTGTTGGGTGTGGCCAACTTGGGAGCCAGCCGGAACGCCGTTCCT